TAGCGGTTTGGTGAGAGTATCCGCGAGCTGATATGCAATATAAATATGAATAATGCGAACTTGATTCTGTTGGACTTGCTTGTGAACAAAGTGAAAGTCCACCACAATGTGTTTCATGCGGCTATGGAAGACTGGATTTTCGCACAAATAAGTTGCACCAAAATTGTCACAGTAAATGGTTGGTGCTTGTGGAAGTGAAACATGTAGTTCATTTAGCAAATTCGTCACCCAATTTGTTTCAGCAAGTGCACTTGCAACCACTCGATACTCTGCTTCAGTTGATGAGCGAGCAATTGTTTTGTGTTTCCTGGATGACCAACTCACATGATTTTGGCCAAAAACAGTATGTAACCAGTAGTAGAGACTCGATCACTCACATCTCCAGCCTAATCCGCATCAGAATATATGTGTAGCTTGAAATCATTATCTCTTTGAATGGGAAGGCCAAACTGAATCGTTCCTTGAAGATACCTGAGTACTCGTTTGAGTGCTTTCCAGAGTATTTCAGATGGAAAGTGCATAAATTGAGACAATTTGTTCAAAGAGAAACTTATGTTTGGACGAGTGAATGACAAGTACTATAGTTTTCCAAGAACTCTCCTATAGCGAGTGGCCTCATTTTGTTGAAGTACTTCACTGGAACTCATTGAAGTTTTTGCGGAATTGCAGTCTTTCATATTTTCTTCAGAGTGGATTTCACTGATGTAATTGGATTGTGATAGAGTAATTCCATCTGCAACACAAAGCACCTCAACTCCAAGAAAAAAGTTAAGGTTTCCGAGATCCTTAATGGAATAACAGCCAGCAATACAATATATAGCCTAATTTACATATGAGCTATGGCTCTTGGTGATGATGATATCGTCGACATAAACCAGCACATACAACACATTGCTCGACACTTTGCGAATGAAAAGTGATGCATTAGATTCGGACTTGCCAAATCCCAAATAAGGAAGAAACGTTTTAAGTTCATTGTACCAAGCCCAAGGAGCTTGCTTGAGTCTGAATATAGCTTTTTTTAGGCGACATATATGTGAGAGGAACTGCTCATCTTCAAAACCCGGAGGTTGGACCATGTAGACTTCTTCTTCTAGGTGACCCTACAAGAACGCGTTATTGACATCATGCTAATGTATGGGCCAATTTTGCTGGACAACAATCGAAAGCACCAATCGCATAGTAGTCGGTTTGATACCGGACTAAATGTAGCGTGAAAGTCAATTCCAGGGCGTTGTGTAAACCCCTTTGAAACAAGACGAGCCTTGTAGAGATCGATTGTCCCATCAATTTTTCTCTTTAACATGTATAACCACTTGCAAGAAACAATATTTTTATGGGGTCATGTGGTACCAATTCCCATGTCTGATTATTCAATAATGCATCAAATTCACTTTTCATTGCTCTCTGCCGCTCTAGTTGTTTGTTAGCTTGTTTAAAACTAGTAGGGGTGATGATAGGGGATAAGTAGGCCATGAAGTCAAGAATTGTTTTCGGTTTGTGAATTTTGTTTTGTGAACGAGTCATAACACGATTTGGAGGAGGGAGAGAAGGTTGTTGTGGTTTTGTGACTGGAAGTGGTTCGAGGGAAGGTTGTGAGGGTTGTGGAGTTGAGGCAGTGGTACGAGCAATAGTGGTTTGGCCAGTAGATGTCATTTTGGTCATTCTACGACTGTATACAATTGGAAAAGATGGTAATTGAGGTTGTGGGACTGAGGTGAATGGTTGTTGAGAATATATAGGTGTTGAGGAAGGGGGCGGTGATAACGTACGTAGTGATTGTGGATGAGAGGAGACATTTGAATTTCTTGGAATAAATGTTGGGGATGGAAATGGGGGATAAGATTGGGTATCATCAAGATCAGGAGGAACAACAGAATTTGTAGGAGGAGAAGTATAAGACGTACATGTAGTTGCAAATTCTGTTGGAGCACAGACAGAAGATACAATATCTTTGTGAGCACTGGTTTCTATATTTGGGATAAGTATAGGGTTGGGTAATTCACTCATTATGAGAGAAGAAAAAATAGGAGATTTTGTTGGGTTAGTTTCAGTTAGGTTTTCCCATGCAAGAGTTTTAAAATTTAAGAAAATATTTGAAAAGATATTCTGAAAAGAATAATTATTTTCAAAAAATTTTACATCTCGAGATAAATATATTTTGAAAGATTTCGGATCAAAACATTGATGACAATAATAATTTAAATAATAACCTAAATAAATATAAGGTATTGACCGTGGCTCTAATTTATTTTTTGAATAGGGTTTGAGCTAGGGATAACAGAAACACCCGAAATTTTTTAAAGCATTATAATCTGGACCATTACCAAACAATATTTGAAAAGGTGATTTATTTTGTAAAAGTGAGGTTGGCAAGCAATTTATAAGATAAACCGCATGTTGACAAGCAAAAGACCAGAGAGTCGATGGAAGCGAAGCTTTATGAAGTAAAGTTCTTGCCGTTTCAATAATATGTCTGTGACGTTTTTCGGTAAGAGAGATTCTTTGAGGGGTGTATGGGGGGAGATAAAAGATGTTCAATACCCTAAGAACTTAGGTATGGATCAAGATTTTTATATTCGCCACCACCATCTGTACAGATAGAATGAATTTTTGTATTGAAACGACGTTCCATTAATGCTTTATTACTTTTGAAAAGGTGTTTAAATTCACTTTTATTTTTTAATGTATATAGCCAAGTATATTTGGTGTATTAATCAACAAAAATGCAGTAGTATGATTTTTTATCAATCGATAAAATCGGAGAAGGACCCCATAAATCACTAAATATTATTTGAACCGATTTGGTACTTGATAAAGTAAGATTCTGAAAAGGATGACGATGAGCCTTATTCAATGAACAAGAATTACAAACTAAAAATTTGTCTCGCGAGCAAGGTAGCGAGAATTTATTCAAAATAAAATTTAAAACTCTTGCACGTGGATGACCCAATCGATGATGCCAGGTGAAGATGGATGTGTTGATGGAGGTCAAATGCACTTTAGTAGAATATATGGAAGGTGAGGTTGGCCACTCATAGAGACCGTCTCTACTCCGACCGCGCACGAATGGATTCTGCGTTTCCAGATCCTTCACAGAAAAATGAAATGGAAAGAATTCAATAGAGGTTAGGTTATCTTGATAAAATTTAGAAACGACGAGTAAGTTACGTTTAATGCTAGGAGCACAGAGAGTATTAGAGAGTTTAAAAGCATTATTTGATGCATGCAATTGAGTTAAACCAGTGTGAGTTATTGGTATTTTGTTACCATTACCCATGGAGACCTGCTCCATGCAATTGTATTCCTGCAAGTTGTGAGGATTATTAGTTATGTGGTGAGATGCTCCAAAGTCGAGAATCCAGGGATTTGCTGATGCGTGCATTCCCGAAATATAGTTAGCCTTGGCCTCAAAATAATTGTGAGATCTGGATCTGCATACACTTGCAACATGACCTGGGTAGTTGCACAACTGACAGCGAACACCATCATAAGAGTTGTTGGTGTTCAAATATCGCCCCTGATATGTGAATTAAAGCGATTGTTGTATCGCCATTGTTGGTTGCCGCCATTGTTATTGTTGGAGTGACGATTGTTGCGATTGTTCGAATTTCCAGATTTGTTGAATGTAGCAGCATCAGTACTCTGGCTAGGAGCTTTCTTTGACTCTTCATGTCTAAGGAAAAGCTCATGATCAAAAAGCTTCTCATGGAGTTCTTCATATGTAATAATGGAGTCACGAGCACGAATTGCAGCAGAGATCTCACAAAACTCTGGTCCTAGACCACTCAGGATCTTAACAATGAGTTCAGAGTTTGTGACAGGGGCACCAGCAGTAGAGAGTTCGTCAGCCATGGATCGAATATTTTGCAAACATTCAGTGACTAGTTGGGAGTCTTTTGTGAGTCGCGCAAGTTGATGGTGAAGATTGAAAATTCTTGTTTGGGACTTGTTAGCATGTGCAATGTACAATGCATCCCAGGTTTTTTTTTTGCTGAATCAGCAGCTGCAACAACAGTGACAATTGTTGGATCAACAAATACCATAAGTGCATTTTGAATGAGTTGGTCTTGACGAAACCAAAGAGCAAATACAGGATTAGCACTAAGGACTGTGCCAGTTGTGATAGTGCGAGATGGAGCAGGAGTTGACCCATCTAGATGACCATAAAGATCATGACCATGCATAAGCATGGAAAATTGCGCCTTCCAAGTTGCAAAGATTTGGCTACCTTATAATTTTATTGGTAATCGTGACACGGGATTAAATTGGACGACCATCACACCACTATTATTATCAGCATTAACAACTCCAGTAGTGTTGGCCATTTGTGGAGGACGGGTTGGAGAGAAAAAAGATAGGATCTTACTCGTTAGAATTTGTTGAGGCTCTTGATACCATATAAGAACAAGAGAAACACAAAAAAGCTCATATGTTTATTGAATCAAAGCAACGAGCGAAAAACTAACTCCTACGAAAGAGGATGATTAACTACTTGCTAAATAAACTCCTTGACTAAGAAGATTTATTTGAGAAAATAAATGACTAACAAAATCCTAACTACTAACTAAAGAATTGGTCAAAGCAGTAAAGTAGCCAATGGTTAACTTATGGTCTAATATGATTTGAATATTTAACAAACCGATATTGATGTTTGATTTCAAGTTAAATGAGTATCTAACTAAATCGAATTATGAACGCTCCTAATTTCAAAGGTAGCCAATTAGGTAGGTGCAACAAGTCACTACATAAGTTATCACTTTGTGTAGAATATATTTTGGATAAGTAAATTGAAAGTCGTGATTAAAGTTAGTACCGTTTGGCTCGGGACCGCCTCAGCCCGGCCGGCCTCAAGCCCAGGCCCGTTTGGCCCTGCCCGGATGCCGGACCACAATATAGCCTTACTCCAACTCCCATACCGAAACGGCAAAATTTTAAAAAGAGCCATAGAAGGATCTAGAAACCCTAAATATGGTTCTATATAAACTCGCTACAAAATGATAATAAATCCTCACTTGCTTTCGAGTACTCTCTGTGTTCACTTCGCCTGCAATTTCTTCGTAGTAGCAAACAGCCGGAGAGATCTACGACGATGGCGGATACAGAGACGTTTGCATTCCAAGCTGAGATCAATCAGCTTCTCAGTCTTATTATCAACACTTTCTACAGCAACAAGGAGATCTTTCTCCGTGAACTCATTAGTAATTCTTCCGATGTGAGTCTCTCCCTAACTCTCACAGTTTTGTGTTTCTTTCTTCTCTCTGTGTTGGCTTTGAATTTTGACTAGTGTAGAGCCTTGCTTTGTGATTCGTTTCATATATCAGTCGTATGCCTATTTATTGTATGACATCAATTTGAAAGCACCTGATATAATGTTTTTGGTAATTCTGAAAACTGTATCATTAAACCCTATGTTTTTACTTAGCTGATAAGAGTGAGCTCTATTTAACTTTAATATTTGTGATTTTATCTAGTATTTGCTTAGATTAGGGAATACGCGAACTTGCTCGGTCTCTGTCCTACAAGTCTCAAGTTTAAACTTTATGTCCACATTGTAGATATTATGATGGTGTTAGTATATGTTCTTGTATATAATTATTTGAAGGATAATAGTATATGACGGCATTCTGAGGATCAGCGATGACTAGCTAGTAGGGAATTTTGTGATAATTCTTTTTGTAAAGAAATTTGTGATGATTCTTCTTATAAGCAAAATTTTGCGATTAATTTTTGTCAGTATTAGTTTAGTTTTAGACAGAATTGTTATACATGGTCCACCTAATTCTGAAATGTGATCTGCTGGCACTTTGAGATTTTTTTCGTTATAATGAGTTATATAGCTGGACCATAAATATAATAGTGTCATCACTATAGTTATTTATAATAGAGGCAGTTCTTAGAGTACTGCTTTATGATGGAGAAGCTTCTTAATTAAGCAACTGAGTTTTATTCTCCTGATAAAAAGATCAGCATTTTGTTGCATTCATTTGTTATCTGTATGCCATTATGTTGTAGAGTATGAATTGTTTGTTGTTATACTTGGTGTTTAAATGTACAGAAATATCTGATTATTATTTTTATTTTGGGATTGTTAATTTAGGCTCTGGACAAGATCCGTTTTGAGAGCTTGACTGACAAGAGCAAGCTAGATGCTCAACCTGAGCTCTTCATCCATATTATTCCAGACAAGACCAACAATTCACTGACTATCATTGACAGTGGTATTGGCATGACAAAGGCTGGTAAGTTAGAACATACTATTGTGTAGAAGTTTGTGATTTTAGTTGTATTTCTAGACACTGATGTGTGTTCTATTTGTAGATCTGGTGAACAACCTGGGTACAATTGCGAGGTCAGGAACTAAGGAATTCATGGAAGCTCTTGCAGCTGGTGCTGATGTTAGCATGATTGGGCAATTTGGTGTTGGTTTCTACTCTGCTTACTTGGTAGCTGAGAAGGTTATTGTGACCACAAAGCACAATGATGATGAGCAATATGTCTGGGAATCTCAAGCTGGTGGTTCTTTCACTGTTACCAGGGATACATCCGGTGAGAACCTTGGTAGGGGTACAAAAATTACCCTCTTTCTCAAGGAGGATCAACTTGAATACCTTGAAGAACGTAGGCTCAAGGACCTGATTAAGAAGCACTCTGAGTTCATCAGCTACCCAATCTCTTTGTGGGTTGAGAAGACCATAGAAAAGGAAATCTCTGATGATGAGGAGGAAGAGGAGAAGAAAGATGAGGAAGGTAAGGTAGAGGAGGTTGACGAAGAAAAAGAGAAGGAAGAAAAGAAAAAGAAGAAGGTTAAAGAAGTTTCTAATGAGTGGTCATTGGTGAACAAGCAGAAGCCCATTTGGATGAGGAAGCCTGACGAGATCACAAAGGAAGAGTATGCCGCTTTCTATAAGAGCTTGACTAACGACTGGGAGGAGCATTTGGCTGTGAAGCACTTCTCTGTCGAGGGCCAATTGGAGTTCAAGGCCATCCTTTTTGTTCCAAAAAGAGCTCCTTTTGATCTCTTCGACACAAGGAAGAAGCCCAATAATATCAAGCTGTATGTGCGTCGTGTGTTCATTATGGACAACTGTGAGGAGTTGATTCCTGAATATTTGAGCTTTGTGAAGGGTATTGTGGATTCTGAGGACCTTCCTCTTAACATCTCCAGAGAGATGTTGCAGCAGAACAAGATCCTGAAGGTTATTCGCAAGAATTTGGTGAAGAAGTGCGTGGAGCTTTTCTTCGAAATTGCTGAGAACAAGGAAGACTATAACAAGTTTTATGAGGCCTTCTCAAAGAACCTCAAGCTTGGCATCCATGAGGATTCCCAAAACAGGTCTAAGTTTGCTGAACTGCTGCGGTACCATTCCACCAAGAGCGGTGATGAGATGACCAGTTTGAAGGACTATGTGACCAGAATGAAGGAAGGCCAGAATGATATTTACTACATTACTGGTGAGAGCAAGAAGGCTGTTGAGAACTCACCCTTCCTTGAGAAACTGAAGAAGAAGGGCTATGAGGTTCTTTACATGGTTGATGCCATTGATGAGTATTCAATTGGTCAGCTGAAGGAATTTGAGGGCAAAAAGCTTGTTTCTGCTACCAAGGAAGGTCTCAAGCTCGATGAGAGTGAAGATGAGAAGAAAAAGCAGGAAGAATTGAAAGAGAAGTTTGAGGGACTGTGCAAGGTCATCAAGGATGTGCTAGGAGACAAGGTAGAGAAGGTGGTTGTCTCTGACCGTGTTGTGGACTCTCCCTGCTGCTTAGTCACTGGGGAGTATGGCTGGACTGCTAATATGGAGAGAATCATGAAGGCACAAGCACTTAGGGACTCTAGCATGGCTGGATACATGTCTAGCAAGAAGACCATGGAGATCAACCCAGAGAATGCTATTATGGAAGAGCTGAGGAAGAGGGCTGATGCAGACAAGAATGACAAGTCTGTGAAGGACTTGGTTCTCTTGCTGTTTGAGACTGCCCTCCTCACCTCGGGTTTCAGCCTTGAGGAACCTAACACCTTTGGCAACAGAATTCACAGGATGCTGAAGCTTGGGCTGAGCATTGATGAGGATTCTGGAGATGCAGATGTTGACATGCCGGCTTTGGAGGATCCTGAAGCTGATGCTGAGGGTAGCAAGATGGAGGAGGTTGACTAAGTGCATAGTAGCTTGACTGATGTTCTATGGTTCCCCTAGTATTTCCCTATTTTTTGTTTTACCCCATCAACGAACAGTATGTATTAGTTCTTAGTGCCATTTTTTGAGAATGGCAGTTCAATGTAGGGTATAATTTATTGGCTCTTTTGGTTTGGCATTTGTGGTTAATATAGTTTTTTTCTTGTTGTCAAACCTTTGCTTCCTGTGAAATATTTACATCAACAAGGTGGAGAGACCATTAGAGTTGGTTGCTCCGACCTTTCTGAATCCCTTTTTCGAGTGGCTGCTTTACCAATTTTACCAGTCTGCGACCAAACATCACTTATCGAGTGGTTGATTTCCCAATTTTACCGGTCTGCGACCAAACGTCAGTTCTGAACCTACGAAAGAATAGCCGTTGGGTGTTGTGTTACTATATAAGGATATATACAGAATGAATTAAAATTTATATCAGTGGTTGCGTTGTATATTTATTGCTATTATATAAGTGGTTGATAGAAGCCTTATTTTCAGAAATTAGCAGCAACCGTCTGTCTTTTTTTCAAAATCAATACTCGCTATTGTGGTGGGAGGTTTAGGCTAGACCCCAACCTGTATATTAACAAAAAGTGGTGGAGTGCAGGATGGGGACTTATAATCTCATCCCGTACCACGATACCATTTGCTATAATTAGCATGCCTTGTACATACAAGAGGATGTAACACACCTTGTAGGTTAGGATTAAGAACCATTTACAAAAGCTGTACGACGAAACGGTTCTTTCTAGGCTTGATTCTAAAATTAATCAGTTGGTCTCTATCTGTCTTCAAGGTTGCTCTCCCCTTCCCAGGTAGGATGTTAGCCTCCATGAAGAAAGTAATGATCTTCTTTGTAAGCTCCAATTAGCAAGATAATCAGCTGTGCAATTGGCTTCTCTAAAGCAATGAGAAAAATAGAAGTTGCCTTCCTGGTACCAGCTCCAAAATTTGCTCCATAATGTGAGAGATTTGCCATGGGATGGAAGAAAGGTTGTTGATAGCATTGATTAAAATCTATGAATCAGATTCAATTAAAATCTCCTTGTAACCCTTATGTAGACACCATTTAATTCCCATGGGAATGGCTTTTGCTTCAGCCATATTATTTGTGCAAACACCAAAAAAGCTAGAGAAAGCCATCACCAAATCTCCTCTTTGATCTCTCAAAATACCACCTCCTCCTGCTAGGCCTGGATTTTTTTTACCGCATCCATCTGTGTTGAGTTTGAGGTATCCATTAGGTGGTTTTCGCCATTTGACAGGGATAACATTGAGAGCTGGCTTAATCTTTTTCCAGAATACAGCATAGATGCTTCCAGTTATTAAACTTAGGAAGAGTAGCAAAATTGCTGGTGATAAGAGTTGTCATATAGGATTGAATCTGGTAGATTAGCCTTTGAATGGAGCTACTTCCTTCACCATATCTACCTGCACACCTCCTTTTCCAGATCTCCCAACAGATAATGCTCGGTAAGCATTGCAAGATAAATTCTAGAATTTTATAGTTACTCTTAGTGAGCCACCACTTAAATAAGAGTTTGCCTTAAATCACCAACCAAGGAAACTCCAAATGAATTTCCAAATACACTCCAGGCAGCTAAAGTACCATCACTTTCCACAAAGATATGATTAATGGTTTCAACTTTTGGGATTCTGCAACATGAGCAACTAAAAGGTCCAATAAAACCAAATTTGCTGGTGATATCATCGGTAGGTAGTCTTCCATTTAACAGTCTCATCACGAAGAATGAAATTTTAAAAGGAAGCTTCTTGTGCTAAATTTTGGCATATGTAAAAGCTCCGGTATTAGTAATGGTCCAAGTAGGTTTGGTCTTTTTTAGTTTGTGTAGGAGGAGGTAAAGATATAATATTTCTAATGATATCTTCAGGTAGAACTTCTCTTAGTTTAATCATATTCCAGGATTCCTCCTAGATAAAGGATGATACTTTCTCCTTTCCTTTGCTATGGCCATTAATCAAATTGGCCAATGGGGCTTGATCCAACCATTTATCCCACCAAATTGAAGCATCCCCATTTCTCAATCTCCACATGATATGTTTCTTTGTATCCTCTTTTATGTGTAAAAATAGCACGGGCTAGCCAGTTTTGGGACTAGTCATTCATAAATAGCCAGCGTTTGCAAAATCGTTGAAAAATAGTCACTATTTTGCTGCAACACGGAAAATTCCAGCATAATATACCGGAGATCGGTGTACCTGTGTATGAACTTCCACCATATTATGCTGGAACTCGAACACGCAGAAAGTTGCAGTATAATATACTGGAGTATTTTTTCGATTTTGAACAATGTTTTCGTTCAGATTTATCTTTACATGAAAAGTAGCTAAATTTCGATTACTTTTGAAACTGTGGCTATTTTTGAATTTCTCCCCTTTTATGTCTATCAATTAGTGGTGAAACCATAAATTTTCGCAAGGGGTGTTTAAGTTTGAAAGAAGTGAAAAAAAAATTCGACAAAGGGTATTCAGTATGTTATGTATCTCTAAAAATCTAATATTTTATTTATATACACAATGTAATTTTTCAAATAATGTGGCTTCGCCCCTGCTATCAACCTTCTCCAGATTTGTGAGTGACTGGATTTCCATGTAGCTACAATAAGGTGGAGTTTGTTACAATACTTAGCTTCCATAAATTCTCTCCGTAGTGAGTCTTTAGTCCTTAAATTCCACCAAGCTTTTGAAGCAAGAGATTTGTTGATGTTATGAATTGATCTAAAACCTGCACCACCCTCATTCTTGTCCCAGCATAATGAAGCCCATGAGAACCAATGGTGTTTGCTATCTCCCTCAGAGTTTCCCCAGAAGAAGTTAGAGTATTGTTTCTCAATTATCTGCAGAGTGGTCTTAGGTGGATTGATAGCAGCAAGGATATGCATAGGAATAGAATAAAGTACTGCTTTAATTAGAACTGCTTTACCTCCAAATGACATGAGTTTGCCATTCCAACCTTGAACTCTTTTCCCTACTTCGGCTTACGCTCATTCATTAAAGTATTCTACTTTTTTTCTCCCTAGTACATAGGAGCACCAAAATAGGTGAAAGAAAAATCCAAATTTTACTATTGATGTTGGTGAAATATTCTGTTCAGAGTACAATTTGCCATAGCTCTACAAATATTTGTCCTCTTTTTGTTTTTACCACTATTTTCTCACCCTTGACATTCCAGTCGACTAGATGTTAAAGGCGACTTTGGCTAAATATAATAAGCTTAACTGGTCGGCAAGACTGGTGGAAGTGATTGGAATTTGGCGATTTATTAAAGAATCGTACTTGGTTTTAATGTTTACGTCTCCATTGTATTCTCGCTAGTTTTTTCATCAGTTGCTAGTCGTAATAGTTAATTTTCCGAGTCAACGTACGCCAGTTTTATATTTGTAACTTTTGTGAAAATAGAGGATCAAAAGCAAGAATAATTCGTCAGCCATCCACGAGAATCTTTACCTCAGAGAAGTAAAACAGTTAAACTATCACTGTTACCAATTTCAAGAAATTAATTTCCTACATTAACTAACTGGAAAACCATCGGCATAGGTGGTCTTTGAATCACCCGACTGAATATCACTCAGGTATGAATCATCTGACAGAAAATCACCTTGGTGTGGATTATCTGAGTTAGTTGTTACCGGGTCAACTTTTTTCTTTCTGTTTTTACACTGCACGGCAGTCACACAACAATGACTCAGCCCTCTTTCTTTTCCCTCACGTTTTGGCTTAACACTTGGATTATGACAGCATATAGAAATCAGACAAGGCACACGGGTATAAGAATTTTTTCCCAAGTTTGTATTAAACTCGTGCTACAAAGAAGCACATAAAAACAACCTTACAAAAAAACAACCTTACAAAAAGGAGTCAAAGGCAGCCAACACTTTGCCTTGACAAGTCTGCTTATCCTAACATATATAAGCAACGATGTTGGCACACAACCCTATCCAAAACATAGCTGACATCCCCATCTGCAAGGGAATTTGAATACCGAGAAATTTACTGTTTTCGATTTTCAAAATTTTTAAGTAATAGATAATGGTGACACTTCACTTTAAAACCAGATTTAATTCACCAATTAAAATTTAAACTCTTGAGTTTTAACATATTGCACATTCTATATCCTACAACCTTTACCATAAATCAAACCACTGAGAACCTTGAGACCCAGGCTTTTGTTGGCAAATTTTCAAGCGATTTGCCCTCTGCATAAGCCAGATATCCACACTGCAATTTCCAGCTTGTGGATTGCAAGGTCTGACCAAGACAAGGAACCAATAACAAGCACAGGTAGCTGGGAACTTGACATTAATCCATAGGCATAAAATACAAAAGCACTACTCAAAAAGAATAAGAAATCCTGAAAATGTCGAATTTTAAAATGGAGAAAAATGAAAGAGCAAAACAATGTCATATACCCATATAGCCAGCCAACTGCAGTTCCCAAAGAAACAAAAGAAAAAGCAATATACTACTTCGGTAAACAACTCTCCTTCTCAGGCCCAAATCAGGTGTCCTCAACTCTTGAATGAAAGACAAAGCTCGGAAATGTTGTTGTAATGTCCCTGTGTATCGGAGGAAGATATATGAGCCAATAAATATTATGGAGTAAAAACTACTAGATAAACATGTTAATATTCCATGTGTCACCTACTTGAGATATTGGAGGGTCATATTCTTCAAAAGTGAAGGATGTCGCAAGACTAAATTTCTCCATTCCTCCTTATCAATCTTTCCGTCATGCTTAGTATCAGCTTCTTCAAAAGTCTGGCAAGAGAGGGAGACCTTAGTTGTTCAAAGCTCATCATAAAATACTTAGTGGGACGATGAAACATAAACAAGAGTCTGTCGCAGTTCAATCGCAAACAAGTAATTAATTGAAATATTGAATGTAGAAAACAGAAGTCAAATAAATGAGTAATCTTGTAAGATAGAATAAAAACAGATCCTAAACTAGTTTCAGCACACACGGAGAGTAGTATCACTGTCATCATCGGGTGTACACTTTTTACACGATCAAATGCATATGGTTACTGAAAACCCTATTTCTCTGAAATGATAGTGGGTGATGACAAGACCTACAAACTACGAGCAGCACTACTGGATCGAGTACAAGTCGTCCGGCAACGAACCATCCAGATATTAAAAAGAATTGGCTTATAAAA